TCTCCTTCATATTCAATAACAATTCTCCAAAGAGAAGGAAGAGAAGGGTTTGAACATTCACTCGGATCTGAGTGTACGTTATCTAAACCGTTTGTTTGTACCAGAATCTTGTAGAGAAGTACTTCGGGAGTTCCATCACTCACGCATTGATCCGGGGAGGCACCAAAGTGTATCATGATCTTAGTCGTCAGTTTTGGTGGAGGGGCATGAAGCGGGATGTCGCTTTATTTGTATCAAATTGTCTTACTTGTCAACAAGTGAAGGCCGAACACTAGAGACCAGAGGGTTTGCTACAACGCTTACCGATAACTAAGCGAAAATGGGAGCACGTCACCATGGATTTCGTAGTTGGGCTTCCTAGAACACAGCGAGGCAAAGATGCCATTTGGGCGATTGTTGATAGGTTGACTAAGTCTACGCATTTCATTCCGATGCGTACCGGCGACTCAATTGAGTACTTGGCAAAGTTGTACATTAGAGAGATAGTTCGACTTCATGGAGTTCCCGTAACCATTGTATCGGACAAAGATTCTCGTTTTACCTCCCGGTTGTGGCAAAGCCTTCAAGAGGTGTTGGGAACTAAGTTGACTTTTAGCACCGCTTACCACCCTCAAACCGATGGACAGACAGAGCATGCTATTCAGATTTTCGAGGACATGCTTAGAGCTTGCGTCCTGGATTTCAAGGAGTCTTGGGAGAGGCACTTACCGTTGATTGAGTTTGCCTATAACAATAGTTACCAAGCTAGCATCGAGACGGCACCGTTTGAGGCATTGTATGGCCGACCTTGTAGATCACCGGTTTGTTGGGCCGAGGTAGGTGATGCACCGTTGTTGGGCTCAGAAATTATTAGAGAGACAACTGAGAAGGTTGCCCTCATTCGAAAGAGGTTAGCTACGGCTCAAAACCCACAGAAAAGTTTTGCCGATAAGAGGAGACGACCTTTATATTTCGAAGTTGGTGACCATGTGTTCCTTAAGATCTCACCAAGACAGGGTTTGATGAGATTCGATAAGAGTGGTAAGTTGTCTCCGAGGTTTATTGGGCCTGGGTTTGATGAGATTCGGTAAGAGTGGTAAGTTGTCTCCGAGGTTTATCAGGCCTTTCGAGATAATGGAAAGAATTGGGAAAGTGGCGTTTCGGTTGGCTTTACCGCCACAACTTTCGAGAGTTCACAATGTGTTCCATGTGTCTATGCTTAGGAAGTATGAGCCCGACCCTTCTCATGTGCTTGATTGGGTTGATTTGAAGGTAGACGAGGATGCCTCTTACGAAGAGCGACCGGTCCAAATACTAGATACCCGAGAGGAAGTGCTACGGGGTAAAACTATACCATTAGTAAAAGTGCTGTGGAGACACTATGGGGTTGAGGAAGCAACGTGGGAGCGGGAGGCAGAAGTCCGCTCTAAGTATCCAGATGTATTTGAACATGCTTAAGTTATTTTTCATTAGTCTTATTCCCTAGCGTTGAGGGGAAATGTATTGAAATTGTTAAGTACGTGTTGTTATGTACATTATTGTTTCAAGCATGAAGAAGTTGTGAGTTGTTACTAAATTTATTGAAAACCTCCATGCATATGTTTATCTTGGATGGTCAATGTTAGTGTGGTAATCATGATGAGAATAGTAAATGTAGGTTGAGAATTCATTTTGCGGTTTGAAATTGTAATAGCATGGTTGTGATTGCTAGAAACTTTTCTTTTTGAGTAGTTGATTTCATTTCGGGGACAAAATTTCCTATGGTGGGAAGGTTGTGATGACCGGCTACGTCGTGTGTCCCTTCACTCATCGTTCTCTATGGGTTTGTTGTGTTTGGAGGATTTCTTTTTTCAAAATTTTCGTTCTTGTTTACTCTGGTGTTGAGTTTCACTTGTTTCAGAGGGTGCGGGTTTGGTCCGGAGTGCCGGGGATTGAGCTGAGGAAATTATAGGCTGGGAGACTAGGGCCACACGTGCAGGAATCTGAGGAATTCCGGGCTTGCACACTGCATTATATACAGGTGCGGGAGGAGGTGCGAATTGGGAGAGCCGCACGTGCGGGGATGAGGGTCGCACGTACGGGACGGGCTGAGTCCGAAAAATCCAGCTTGGGCTGTGTCTATCACTTTGTATATCTCTCTCTCTCTCTTTAAAAACCCTTTTCTCCTTCTCCTCTCTACATTTCCTACACCAAACAAGATCAAAACTTTGATTTCCCTTAATCCATTAGAGTTTTACCCTTTGTCCATTCATCAAAGTTGAAGAGCTCCTCGAGAGTTACATTGTGTGCGGTGAAGATCGGGATTCGTCACCATTGATTTTTGGGGATTTCATCTCTTTTCTCTCCAAGAACATGAGGTAGGGATTTTTCTTAGAGTTATATATACATATATATATATATTTGCAAGTTTCGGTTAATTTAGAGATTTCCTCTTTAATTGTTTTGAAATTTAGTTTTTGGCTCTAGAGGGAAAAGAATTCATCTCTTGTTTCTTTTCAAAGATTTTCTTGAATAGTTGAATCATATTGACTTAAGAATGATGTTTTTGGTGAGGTTTTACTAAGAAATGAAGGAATGTCTAGTTTTGGTGAAAAACCTAGAAATTGGGGGTTTTGGAAAATGTTGAGAATCTATGGATTTTCTTCTGTTAAATGAAAGAGTGAGTGGAAATTTCATATTATTATTTGCAAATATGGCAACTTTCTTGATGTATGAGGATTTGGAGACATTGTTTGAATTTATTGTTAAATGCATATACATACGTAGTTATGAAATGGCAAATTGAAGAGAACGCATGAAATATGGAATTGATGCAATACTTGGATATATGTATATATATATATATATTCATACATGATAATTGATGAAATCGCATTGAAAAGGAGAATGGGAGTTTGTGATCAAATTTGATAAATTGTGTGGGAAATATTGTCAATGGAGGATTATTATTTTGCCTCGATACATATATATATATTGCATTGGCGTTTCTATTATTGCATGGTATACAAATTTTGAGTTGAGATTTGAAAACATTTGCATTGGGAAAGAAATGTAGTGAAATGAAACTATTAAAATGTTTTGGGATAAATACGTTGGTAAGTAAAGAGAGGAGGTGTAAATGGAATTGATTAAGTTGGCCTGAGTGTCCGAGGTGAGAGACCGAAAACACGCACGGAGGAAGTACCACTTCCCTTCTGATTAGCAATCGGTAAAGTGGGGTATTGGTAATGCTAGTTATGCCTACTTGCAGACACCAACCTAGGGATTACCTGAGTCGTATTTACCGCCCCCCTTGAATTAAATTGATAATTTATGCATTGCTGAGATTTCAAGATATCATTGAGCAAAAAGGATTCTCAAAAGATGATAATCTGATTTTCACGTCAAAAGAGTAGCATGGCATATGCATTCCTTTTTATGAGGCTTGTATAAAATGTATATACTTTGTTAAGGATTTCTCTATTGGGCTTTATGCTCACCCCTATGGGATTTTGCTGCAGGAAAAGATGTGGTGAATCCGCCAAACTAGGACGTGGATGTATGTATTGAGAGCACAAGGCTCTATTTTGTTATGACCATATTATTTATTTATTTTTTTGTAAGCCAAGGACTATATATGTATGGGTTCAAAAAACCATATTTAGTGTAACCGGGCTTAAGCCTTGAAACATGTAAGCCCCTTGAGGGCATTTTATTTATTTTTGGATTTTACATTCTACATGCTATAGATTCATGTATTTCATATCATTGAATGTATAATTTGCATATGGGACTATTTTGTACAAACTTTAATGATCAATGTTATGATGATTTGGGAATTGCTATTATTCTATAATAAATGTTAGTTGATGTACCAAGATTATGTTGAAGAAATTTTGACGCATTACAACTTGGTATCAGAGCTACCGGGTTTGAATAATTAAGGCTCGCGGGGAGTGGTTGTTAGACCACAATGGGTTCATTTCGCATGAGTAGGAGATGTTTTTATTTTGTGACTATGTGATAACACGCTTACATGACTAGATACGTATGGGATTGGACTTTTGGGATGTTTACGCCTATTAAATTCCTTGAGGTCTTATTAGAATGGTACTTTATCAATACTCATTCTACGAAGAATTCTTGGTCTTTCATGGGACGAATTTGATCACAAAAGGATAATCCGTATGTGCTTACGTGACTAAGTGCTTATGTAGAGTGGAATTGAATTGTTTATATGATATAAAATATATTAAATTGTTGTGGTCAAACGTGTGAGAGAGATCGCAGGCACATTTGAGATTATGTGCTGAATTGTTTATCTTGTTCCTTAATTAGGATGCCAGGAAGGGTTCAAACCCGTAGTGTTAGAGGTGGAAGGCGTGGTAGGGCTCGCAGGGGTGTGCATGGAATACCGGCCCATGAGGTTCCGGTGCAACAAGGGGGGTTGGGCCAAGCTAATGTGCCGAGCAAGTGGGACAAGCAGAAATTCCGGGACAAGCGGGTCAAGCAGCAATTGGAGCCCTAGCCCAAGAAATGGCGGGGGCCTTGAGGAAGTCGATGAATATATTAAGGGCGGAGAACCAAGCTAGAGAGAACGCCGTAGCGACGAGGGCGAGCTTTCTCACTATGGAGTTTTTACGGGCCAAACCAGATGAGTTCCATAGTGGCCCCGAGCCTAAGAAGGCGGATGAGTGGCTCGAGCAAACGGTGAAGACATTTGAGATGCTTCACATTGAAGACAGTGAGCTAAGAGTGACTCTTACGAGTTACTACCTCAAAGGAGATGCGAACCAATGGTGGAAGTACGCCAAGGGTCGAGTAGAGCCGACGTGGGAAGCATTTATGGTGGCTTTCCAAGATAAATATTTACCTCCCACTGTTAGGGAGAGGTTGAGGCAAGAATTTCAAGATCTCAAACAACTTAATATGTCTGTGGCCGAGTTTGAAGCGGCCTTCTCTAGTTTGTCCCGGTTTGTACCGGAGTTGGTGGCAACGGAAGAACACAGTTGCATTGAATTTGAGAAGAAGTTGAGAACCAAGATCTTGTTCAAGGTTGCTGGAAATAGGATCCGGAACTATGACTGTCTTGTGGAAGTGACGGCACACGTAGAGATTACCGTGGAGGTCAAGGAGAAGAGAATTCGGAGTTCAAGGTCTAGGGGTCAAGGGTCATACGGGGACTACAGACCCAACAAGAAGAGCATGAGCACTTTTCCAAGTCAGTCTCAACCGCAGCAGTCTAGATCCACCTTCCCTTTGCCTAGTGCAGGCCCGGGGAAGAGTGCATCGAGTGGTTTTTCCTGTTTTAAGTGTGGCCAACCAGGTCACAAAATTAAATGTATCACAATTGAAAAGTTAGGGACTAAAATGACACAAATCCCAAACTACAGGGACTCTGTGTGATTCATCCAAATTAATCACCAACAAACAATCATCCACCAAAAAAATTTTGAGCAGGGAAATTATATGCAACATAAATGACTTGTTCGGCAATTCCTGTGCACCCATTTTTATTTTTAATTATTGTGTTTTGGATTTCTCTCACTCAAAATACATTTCTAAAATGTGAAGCTCTCCACACAAACACTAATTACCTACTTCCAATTACAATCTATAGACTCTATAGCATAATAATTGCACCATTTACTAGTTTTAAATACATACAGCCACTTTAACTGGTACCACAATATTGGATCATTATATATATCCAAGCACAAAATGAATACAACAAGAGACAATACTAGAACAAACTCTTATTAGGTTGGTTTGCAGTTCTTCTCGCCTAGATCATCATGACTGGAATATTTGCTCTCTTAACTATACTTTTTTTGGCTTCCCTTCTGACTGAAACCTCTGTCCATGTCCTTGCATTATACGTATTTGAGGACGCAATTGTTGATGGAGGAAACACGCAGCCAACTTCACCACATGGCATTGATCTTAACACGACAATACCTATTCGCTGGACCAATGAAAAATTAATGCTGATTTCATTGGTAAACTTTGGATTCTTTTTATTATTGCTCTCTGTCTCTCTCTCTGTCTCTCCCCCTCCCTCCTTTTTTTCATGGTATTATACCCAATGATCCCAGAAATATCCTCTTGTTTGCAGCAAGCTTCCTGGGATTGCCATTTCTTCCACCTTCCACAGATACTTCAGGATTGGAAATATCCAAAACTGATGTAAACTATGGACATGTTGGTTGTGGTTTATTGCGCCGAACTGGCCCTGTAATATAAATAACAACTTTTTTTTGTTCGAATTATTTTACTTCTCTATAAATGTACATGGTGATTGTATCAATTTTGATTTTAAATTTAATTTTAACTTTTGCAGAAGAATTGTTCTTTTGAAGATCAGATAGGCCAATTTAATTTAACTGTGGCAAATAATCTTACAAAAGCATTCAACGAACACGAACTTGTCGACAAGTTCTGTTTTTCTTGTTTCATTGGGCATAAATGACTACTACTTCAACTATCTGTCCTCTATAAACGTACATGCTGATTGTATCAATTTTAATTTTAATTTTTGCAGAAGAATTGTTCTTTTGAAGATCACATCGGCCAATTTAATTTAACCATGGAAAATGATCTTACAAAAGCATTCAACGAACAAGAACTTGTCCAACATTTGACAAATTCTGTTTTTCTTGTTTCATTTGGCATAAATGACTACTCCTGCAACTATATGTCCTCCATAAATATACATGGTGATTGTATCAATTTTGATTTTAATTTTAATTTTTGCAGAAGAATTGTTCTTTTGAAGATCAGATCGACCAATTTAATTTAACTATGTCAAATGATCTTACAAAAGCATTCAACGAACAAGAACTTGTCCAACATCTGACAAGTTCTGTTTTTCTTGTTTTATTTGGCATAAATGACTACTCCTTCAACTATCTGTCCTCTATAAATGTACATGGTGATTGTATCATTTTTTCTTTTAATTTTAATTTTAATTTTTGCAGAAGAATTGTTCTTTTGAAGATCAGATCGGCCAATTTAATTTAATTGTGGCAAATGATCTTACAAAAGCATTCAACGAACAAGAATTTGTCCAACATTTGACAAGTTCTATTTTTCTTGTTTCATTTGGCATAAATGACTACTCCTTCAACGATCTGTCATCTATAAATGTACATGGTTATTGTATCAATTTTGATTTTAATTTTAATTTTTTCAAAAGAATTGTTCTTTTGAAGATCAGATCGGCCAATTTAATTTAATTGTGCCAAATGATCTTACAAAAGCATTCAACGAACAAGAACTTGTCCAACATTTGACAAGTTCTATTTTTCTTGTTTCATTTGGTATAAATGACTACTCCTTCAACGATCTGTCCTCTATAAATGTACATGGTTATTGTATCAATTTTGATTTTAATTTTAATTTTTGCAGAAGAATTGTTCTTTTGAAGATCAGATCGGCCAATTTAATTTAACTGTGGCAAATGATCTTACAAAAGCATTCAACGAACAAGAACTTGTCCAACATTTGACAAATTCTGTTTTTCTTGTTTCATTGGGCATAAATGACTACT